ATGCAGGGCCTGCTGCGCGACGTCGAGAGTCGTGAGTACGAGGACCAGTTGAGGATTTAGTGCTTTCAGGGTGTAGTTCGGTTTATGGGTTCTCTCGTTTGCCACAGAATTCTTGAGTACTTGGAGGTTCATGGGTAGTTACAAGTGGGGTTATAAGTAGGGTAACTATGGTTATAAACCCGATTAGGGGACTTATATACCCATTTATAGCTACCCATGAACCTCCAAGCAACTCTGCTCAACATCTAAGGCTGACGTTAGGGTTCAGGCAACTGCAGGCGAAGGGCTTGAAGCCGAAGTTTCACGGCCTTTTGTGGCCTTGACTGTGCAGGTTTAGGGTTTAGGGGTTTAGGGGTTTAGGGGTTTAGGGGTTTAGGGGTTTAGGGGTTTAGGGGTTTAGGGGTTTAGGGGTTCAGGGTCTGGTGTTCAAGGCTGGCTTCCTTTGCATGTACATGTGATTCTGGTACTTGCTGATCGTGCGGCGGACCGCGCCCGGGAACATGGTCGAACAGCCCCGAAATGCTGATGCCGTCCACAGTCCACATATCTATCTTCAACCCTTCGAAGACTTCGAACACCTTTCATGAAAACGCCCACCGAAGCTGTGCTTCTGCAACTGAAAACTTGAATCCCAAACCCTAAACCCGAAAGCCAAAAAGTCAAGGATGCTGAAGTGCTTTGGGTGCTGCGTCTTGCGCTTCGCCGGCATGAAGGCATGGGATCTTTCGATTCCTATATCAATAGTACTGTACTATACTACAGTATGTCATAATCTATGACGTCATATCGCGGTCTCAATGGCATATGATGGTTGGTTGTACGTACATTAGAGTATATGGTGGTATACAGTGTAGTACAGGGTGGTATAGTTTACATGCTATACGATGGTAAAGCAACCTACATTCCATTTCCTTCGTTTGAAGAGGCTAGTGTCTGCACGAGCGTATGTATGTCTGCATGCATCTTGACCCGGATCTTTTCCTGCACGACTCAATGCTATCTCCGTGCAAATGACACTGCCCAGCTGTTGCACTGCACTAACCGCCAAACCCAGGCAAAACGGCAAAACATACACACAAGAACCCACAACAATGTGAAAGCATGGAGTGCTCTATTCTAAGCCCTAGTGCCGGAAGACCATACTTCGTTCCACATGCCTTGCCCTGAACGCCCAGCCTTCAATCCTGAATCCTAGATGCTGAACCAGGCCCCGCGCCGTTGCGGCCTTCATGCCTCCGTTACGCATTGCTAGCCGACTTCTCAGTGTGATGTGGGGTTTCTTAGTATTACGTTTTCGGGTTCAGGGTTTCGGGCATGAGGTTGATTGCCCATTTTTGTGGTGTAAGTTCAGAAAGAGGTAGGAGAATCACGAACACAAAAGAGCTTGGAGCGAGGCCCAGTCGTCTGCAACATTCTTCCCTTTGCGCTTTATTGGTCTTTATTTCCGATTCGTCCAGTTCTGGCAGCATGAAATCCTCCAACAGCGTAGAGTCTCTAACCCTTTTCTACGTCCCCAGTATCAAGCAAGCTCAAGAAAGCACCTGGAAAGCCACGTGATGGCTGCAAAATGAAATGCAGAGTATCAAGGCCAACTGAACCCAAAGCACCAACGCCACACCCCGACCCAGCGACTTAGCACCTCTTTGCTTCCCGCAGGCACGTCACGGCTTCCGCTCTTTGCACGGATGCCTGGGGAACGTTGCAGGGGAGCATCAGGCCGTAAATCACCTATCAGCCCATTTCAGCTTCACAGTATCAAGCTACAGGTGAGAGGGGTGCATTGTTTGGCTTTCACCTTGTCATGGCAAGTAATCACGGACGCTGTTATGTGTACGCATAGTTGCTATGGTGTTGACGATGATGCTGATAGTCTTGGGCTTGCTACAACCGTTTTCTGCTTGCTGCTACTGTTGGCATGTTAACGCATGCTGCTGTTGCTACTTTGCATGTTGCTGCGCTGTTAGCCCCACCAGCAGTACGACCGATTTGCTCCACCAATGATTGCTGGTGCAGTTGTCACCTGTATGTGGACAGCATAAAGAGTAGATAATTGCCCATACTGTTCGTTCGGGTTCCTTGTGATATTTACAGTATACATACTGTACCCCAAAACTCCAAAAAATGCTAAGGCCCCTACAATAAGCCCTTGCCCTTTCAGGGACCCCCTACAGGAACCCTACTCTCATTACTAAGGCCCCAATATCTAGTTAGCCAAAGCACAAGCTATTCTGTAAGGGTCTAGGGTATCGGTATACAGTTTAGGGGTTGGGTTGAAAGGTTACGGTTGAGGGCTTAGGGCTTTGGGTTAGGGTTTAGGGCTTTTGGGTTTAGGGTTGAGGGCTTAGGGTTTGGGTTTACCGCAGCAAATGTATCGAGGTCTATCTCCGGGCCCACCGCAGCATAGCTGCACCCACAACCCCTATCCATGAACAAACTTGAGGGTGCCTGGCCTAACTTCGGAGTTCCTTATTGTAATTCCTTATGGGTAACCCTTAAGGGAACCCTTATGATGTCCCCTAGAGGAACTCTGTTCTAGCAATCTAAAGGCCCTCTATCCGATTTTTGAATTTGGGCCTCAGGATTTCTCATCCTCCCCAGGTCATTTCCAGAGCTGCAGCTGCCGTCCACTCAGCTCGGAGACAGATGGGAGTCTCCGAAGACTAGGGGTACCTTATTTTGGGGTCCCTACAATAAGGATCCTACTGTTTAGGGTATCTTGGGATGGTTGTAAGAAGGAGCCCTATATGGGAGTTTCCGAAAGTAGGGGACCCTAGTCTGGCACCCAAAATGGTAGGATCTTTTTATATTCAGAATCCCATAAGGTAAACCGTTAAACCTCAAACCTTATTCCCTAGACCTGAAAGCCCTAAGCCCTAGCCCTACACCGTTAAACCCTGGAGCCTTAGTAACTTTCAGCCCTTCAGCTCCCTTACTTCGAGGTTGGCACTGCTTCCCGTGCGGGCCGGCAGTGGGCAGCAAGGGCACCAGGCAAGGGGCACAGAGGTTTGGGGTTTAGGGCGTAGGGGGGTTGAGGGCTTGGGGTTTGTTCGGTTATGCATGCTAAACAGCCTTATTACGGGTTCTGTGATGATGGATTCTCCTTGTCGGTCATCTGTGGATGAGCTCATCAAATCTCTGAGGATCTCAGGAAGCCTGATACATATGTATATATATATATAGAAAAAATGGTTCCTTGCAACTTCCCACCAGCCCTATTCCCCTAAGCCCCTTAACCGTAAACCTGAAACTCCAGATGTCCCGAACAATAAAACCAGATCCCGAATCCAACAACCCCGGCCACTGGAGTATACATGGTGCGTATACGTATGTGTCGGTATATCTGTATGTGTGTGAGCTAGATACACCTACAAGCATTACATATACGTACGCACCTACATGCATGCATGCACATACGAACATACATATACAATTGTATATGTTATCTGATACAGCCTCTAGCCTCTACCTTTCGGTTGGTACACAGGAAGTCGACCGCCGGGAGTTGCAACGGCTGATGGAGGAGAGATGAGCGGTGTTTGCGATGACGGGACCCCCTAAACCCTAAACCCTAAATCCAGTTTAGGTTCAACATCTGGGTTTTAATGCAGACCACGGGGTAACCCTACGACCAGCGCCATATCAACGAAGGTTTATATATAATGAACCCTAAACCCTAGAGCGAAAAAAGCCCCAAACCCTGGGTCTACTTGGAGGTTCAGGGGTAGTTATAAGTGCGGTTTTAACTGTATAACCCCTATTAGGGGGCTTATAACCCCATTTATAACTACCCATGAACCTCCAAGTAGGGTTGTCCTTCAGGGTCTCCGGTTCAGGCCGCGCTTTGAACACCAACCCCGAATTTCGAGTTTAGGCTGAAGTGTACACCCCGATCCCCAAACCCGAACCCCTGAACCCTTCAACCCCTAAACCCCTAAACCCTTTAACCCCTAAACCCCTAAATCCCTAAACCCCTGATTCCCTGAACCCCTAGAGCCCTAAAACCTAAAACCCCAGCAGAGGAGCTCAACGGCCGGCTTCCCGTCAGCACCGAAGAGGTGCTCCGGGGCTTCTCTTCCCTCCTTTTTTGTCAGGTTTAACCCGAAATCCTAAACCCTTAAAAGTCACCAAAAACTTAAAAAAGCTTTCAACCCTAAACCCGAAACCCTACAGCCTGTACCCTTACAAGTCACTTCAACCTGAAAAACCCTAAACCCTGAATCCTAAACCCTGAACCCTAAACTCTAAACCCTAAAACCTAAGCCTCCTCCTGACAGGTTTCTGAAAATCGCGGGCTCCTTCGTCCGAAGCTTGCAGGGTTTGGGGTTTGTTTAGTTTGCCAAGGCGTGTCAGGAATGAAGACGAAAACTAGGGTTTATATTCCAAAGGCTTTAAGCCTTAATTCGGGTACTTGTTGATAAGTTTAAATATGAATGTATATGTATATACATTTATATACACCCCCGTAGTTTCACATAGATATGTAAACAAGTAGAAACTAGATGTATGAATGACTAAACAAATGTAAACATGTAAGCAACTAAATGAACAAGTATATATACATCTACATGCACATGATGATTCGCTTATATGGATTATATAAATAATCGGTATATACATACACACATAAAGTTATGCAGACATATACAGACATACCTCGATATGTGCGTGCATATATATATATATATACACATACACAGACATATTATGTCTCTACTTATTTATTTATTTATTCATTTATTTTTTGCTTCTTTATGTATATTATACATGTGCGCAGACTTTCGGCTGCTTGCTCCGGCTCCGACAGGTGGATGTCGTCATCGAGGAGGCCCAGGGGGTTCAGAAGGATGGTAGACTGGTACACCCCCACTTTAAAAGGGGTTTATCTACGCACTCGGCGCTAAGAAAGGGGGTCTCTGACAGTCAGGAGTCCGCATGGTTTGCTGGCACTCGCAAATTTCTTGAACTCCGGGTTAGCATTTTTGAGTTCAGGGCGTCCAGGGTGAGGGAGCTGTTGCTCCTGAGCTTGGCAGTTAGAATTCAGGGGGTTCTGGTTTGGAAAATTTGAGGTTCAGGCCCCAGCGAGAAAGAGACATGGTCGTGCACCTATGCTGTCTACCTTAGAAGCTGCCCCCACCCTGTAATGGTGACTATAAGGATTATATTAGGGCCCATTATATTCCTATTATACCCCTATTACAGGGTGGGGGCAGCTTCTAATGTCTACCCATCATGGCCAGAACAAATCGCCCCAAACCCTCAGAACACTCGCCGACATGCATGCACATAGGCCCTTCACCCTAAACCCTGCACTCTAGGATTAAATCCGAAACCCTAAAGCCCAATCTCTAAATGTAAAACAAGGGACCTTTACCCTAGGATCCTTACTACTAGAAGTCACGCACCCTAAGGCCCAGATTTGGATTCTGAGTCCTAGGCTCCTTACTCGAAGACTCCATAAACTCTAAACCTTAATGTAGATCCCAAGCCGAACCCTAAACCCCAAACACCCAAACAAGCGCCAAAGTCGAAACCCTAAACACTACTGTAGATCCCCAGTCGTAGGATCCGAAATCTGAGAAACCTCCAAAAAATCCTCAAAAAGTGTCCGAGACCAGCACCAGAGTTGGGCGTCGAAGCCGAAACCCCCAATGCACCCTGAAGCCCACTGCACTATTTTTTGGGGGTTCCTTATTATGTGTATAGTCTATTGGGATCAAATTAAAAACCTATATACTCGAATTATCAAGGCCCGCACCTATGTTACCAGTAGAAGACGAGGAAGTCGTGCTAGTGGTCGTAGTCGAGCCTGAGTTATAAACAACCGCCGGACACATCGAGGCACTTCTCCTCGGTGGGGGCGATGCCCTGACTCGGGGCGACCTTATGCGGAGCCTGGGCGCCTGGTATGCCAATGTGCAGAGGCCTGGGTTGAGGGCACCGGGGAGATTCGAGGAAGTACGACCTGGGAGTTTTCGAAAATTAGGGGTACCTTATATTGGGGCCCTCAATAAGGATCCTATTATTTAGGGTATTATATTGCCCTCTTTGTGAAACACTCCAAGAGGAGTCCGATTCTCCAGACCCTCGGGTTTTATGGAAAAGCCTGAATCATGCGCAATGCAATTCCTTAGGTTTCCTCATTATAGGCTTATCCTATGATATAGCTCCTGTTCCCGATTATTTCGTATTCGAAGAACAATATGCTTGACCACAAGACCGTCTTCTAGTCATCAGGGCCAATATGTGAGCCAAGAAGACCCGGGTGAAAGAGAAGGCGAGCGACTTTGACGGCAAGTCGACCCAATCAAGTCGGTTGTGGTCGATTGTGATTCGTGCTTAATTGCAGAGGCCCCCCCTACACGATTTTGGGTTTAGGGTTTAAACCGAAACCATCCGAAGAACCCAATCCCTAAACCCAACAATCCTTGGCCAGGAGCGACTCACCACCGGCTGTCTTCCTGCACGCTTGGGCCTCCGCGCAGGGTCCCCGGAAGCGAGAGGGAGGGGTAGCAACTGAACCATTAAACCCTAAACTCTAAACCCCTAAACCCCTAAACCCCTAAACCCCTAAACCCCAAACCCGAAACCCAAAACCCTGAACCCCTAAACCCATCAAGCCCTGGACCCAGTGCCTTGAAGACCTCGATTCTACCTGTTTGACTTTCAGACAGCAAGGGCACAGCACTTCACATCTTACGAAGCTGCATCAGACGCTGAAAAGTAATGTCGGGGGTTCCTGATCGTATGTGCACTGTCACGTACCAAAAATCTATTCGTAATATCAAGACCTCTCTATATTAGCCTCCCTGCACACGAACCCACCGAACCCTCAACCCAAACGCTTCGGGATTGAGGCTTCAAGGTAGCCTACAGCGCTAAACCCTGACCCAAACTCCTTGGCAGAGCGCAAGCCTAAGAGAGAATCCTGAATAGCTAATAATTCGTGATCTTATCTCCTCGTCGTCCCTTTTGTGAGTACAGTAGAACCTACCACAAAGATCTGTTTGAATTATGAAGGCCCGAAAGCCTAGCTTTTTCTGCCAAGGCTTCTCCACGGGCGTGAGTACCACACCACCCTCATGGAGACGCTGAGGTTTCTCGAGCATTTGGGGACAAAGCGCCCGTTTAGGGTTTAGGGTTTAGGGTTTAGGGTTTAGGGTTTAGGGTTTAGGGTTTAGGGTTTAGGGTTTAGGGTTTAGGGTTTAGGGTTTAGGGTTTAGGGTTTAGGGTTTAGGGTTTAGGATGCTAGAGTGGGGGCCTTAATGCTTACAGCACCTGGGCCCTGAAGAACCTACCTTTGTAGGGTTCCTTAATATGATTCCCTTAGATGAAGCCTTAAAAGGTAGGTTTATTTGGGCTCCAGGTAGGGGCCTTGATAATCATACCGGGCTTTGGGCGTGTTGCCGCTTAGTTATACCCAGGGCTTCCGCAGCAAGGACTCTGGGCATCGTGCAGGCTGTTGGATTTATAGGGGTTGATGGTCTATGGTTTTGGGGCTGGAGGGTTCCTGCTTGGGGTTTAGGGCCGAGATGGGAGTTTCCGAAAGTAGGGGACCCTAATATAGCACCCTAAATAGTAGGATCCTTATTATAGGGACCCCCACAGGAGGTGCTCTAATTTTCGGGAACTCACAGATGAAGTTGTGAAGGAGGTTCCCCGTCGGGTCATAACATCGGTTGGAATCTCCTGCTGTCTTGTCTCGGCTGGTCCAACCCCACCTGTCTGGCTCTTAGTAGGGAAGGGGGGAATGGATTATGGAGACTGTTATTGGGGATTATATAGGGACTACTATAGGGATCCATTCCCCCATTCCCTACTAAGCACCAGACAGCCGCACTTTGTTTTTCGTCTTGTCTTGTTTGTTCTTGTCTTGTGGTGTTGCTCCAGTGCTGTTTGAGACTAGCAACACGAAGTCCCACACCCCAAACCTCCAAACCCCCACACCCTGGACCCTAACCCCTAGATCCCAAACTCAAAGCCCTAAACCCGAAGCCCTTGAAGTCCGCGGGAGAGAGCACCCTGTGGGAGGCATCTCCTGCCATCGGTGCTGCGTGGGCTGAGGCGCCAGCGCAAGGACGTACGGCTTCGGGCTTAGGTCTTCGGGCTTTGGAGTCTAAGGTTTTGGATCGCGGGCTTAGGGCTTCAGGCCTTGGGGGTTGTGAGTGCCGATGCCAAAGCTAGCGTTCATAGGAAGCCATCGCAGGGTAGTCAGAAGGGGTAGTGATACCAACACCTTCAGTAGTCTAGACCCTGAAACTTATACCATCATACACCCCAAAACCCTTTTCTAGTGATCAAGCCCCCTTATACTGTTTTTGAGCTGTTCCTGAACGGACAACGACATTTGGGATACTTCGAGCAGCTTTTAGATATGAGGATCTGCTGTTTGGGGTCCCTTCGGCAATCTCCAGTCCTGAACTCACTAAATCCTCAACCTTAGCCCTCAACCCCAATCGCCAACCCCAAACCTAGACCCCGAACCCCCAAGAAGGCAAATCAAATACTACGCTTGATGATGTAAGTCCTGCATTACCCATAATCAGGCATATACCAGGCATATACCATAATTCCCATAGTCTAGGGTCATTCATCAGTGCAGGATTTATATCATCAGCCGTAGTTGCAGTCCCTAAACCCTAAACCCTAAACCCTAAAACCCTAAACCCTAAACCAGAAGACAGGACGCCGCTGCAGCCTCCTCTCGGCTCCTGTCAGGGCCTCTGCAGCGATCGGTGGAGGCTCGTCGCCGTGGTGCTGTTTGGGAGTTTCTGAAAATAGGGGACCCTAACATACTAGGATGCCCAGTAGTACCCTTATTCCCTTTTTGTAGTCCTAGGTTCCTTATAAAGTTACTCAATACCAAAAAGAGTGGCCTTTTTATGCTTAGGTTACTGGGTATCCTAGCATAGTATCCTACATAGTAGGATCCTTACTTTAAGGACCCCGAAATACGACACCCCTAATTTTCCGAAACCCGCGTTTGGGTTGACGAGGCTCTTGGGGGTCCAGGGCTTTTCGGGGCGTACGCGGCTTTGCTTAGTGCTTGGCGTTCGGGGCTTGGTGTTGGGGGGGTTGATTTTCGCTGTTTCTCAGCCCTTTGTTTCAGGGTTCGGGCTTTTTGGCTTAGTGTTGCGGTGGTCTCAGATAATCCAATTGCCCTGAACCGGGGTTCTTTATCAAAGGTTAGTGCTGACGAATATTCCTTAGTTTCATGTAACCGCCAGTGGGTGTAGGGTGTACGGTCTGGGTGTACTTAGAAGAACGAACAACCATGGACCGCTCAAGCCGCCTTCTCGAGTTGAGGGTGGGGTTCGCTGCGGCGGGGGAGGGGGTGGGGGGGCGGCGGAACAAACGTGACAACTGCTCGAACAAAGGCGGGGAGGGAATCCGGCGCAAACCAGAAAAGGTGGAAGCCAATACGGAGGGGGGCGGAAGTATTCAAAGCCTTTGAGCATGCAAACGCGGGAAAGGAGGAGAGGATGGAAAGACGGAGGGACGAGGGAGGAGTGGGAAACGAGAGCGAAGCGGAATCAGGATGAGGATGAAGGACGGGGATGAAGGGTTGATGATACAAATCCTGTATTACCTTAAGGCCCCTAAACTATGGGAATTATGGTATATTCCTTATGATGGGTCAGGCAGGATTTATATCATCAGCCGAAGGACGAAGATGAAGGGTGATGAGAGTGAGGATGGTTAACAGTAGATAGGCCGCCCCTAGAAGTCCTGGTCTAATTATTCGGGCAGTAAATTGAAGTCTCAATCTAAGCCGCTTAAGGAACCCTTGATGGAACACTTGATGCGATTCGTGGCAGAACCCCAATAAGAAATCCCAAGTATGGTAGGGGTCTGTGGCCAAGGGCTGAATCTTAAACCTTAAACCCTAAGCCCTCAACCTTAAAAACCCCCCCGAACCCTGAGCCCTACACCCTAAACCCCAAAGCCCTAAACCCTAAACCCCCCAACCTGAGCTCTAAACCCGAAACCCTACAGTAAAAGCCAGAAAGCTGGAATATGATTATCCTAAACCCTTTATGGTAAATTATAGGGTATCCTACCCTGAAACCATATTCCAACTTTCTGGAGTTCCCTGTAAGACAACTTGAGTCCTGAACAGATGTGCTGGAGCGGCGGCTCTGTTCTCCTGCTGCTTCTCGGGCTGGCGGTGCCTGGCTGCCTCTTCGTGCGGGCCTCGGGCACGGAAGGGTAAGGGCCAGGGGGGGGGGGGCTTGGGATTTAGGGTTCCTGGCTTTAGGCTAGGGTTTAGGGTTCAGGACCTAGGGCGTAGCGGAGAGTGCTTAGGGTTTACAGGTTTGGGGGAGAGGGTTCGGGGGAGGCGTGGGCTCGTCGTGAATACGTGACGATGCTTCACTGCGAAGGGGCTTTGGTCGTTTGTACTTTGACTGTCGCGCTGGCTTTGCAGTTGTCCAAATTCGTGTGTACACGTAGGCAACGAGAGCTCCCTAGACCCTAAACCCTAAACCCTAAACCCTATACCCTAAACCCCTAAACCCTGAACCCGAAACACAACAGCCTCTACGGGATGTGATGCAGGCTCAGAGCAACGGGTTGATCCGACTTGGCTCTCCTTGGCCTTAAACCCTAAACCCTAAACCCTTAAATCCTCAACCCTAAACCCTAAACCCTAAAACCCTAAAACCCTAAACCCTAAATCCTCAACCCTAAACCCTAGAACCCTAAACCGTGGCTTGACTTTGCGATGCCGTCGGCTGTCCGGGACTCGGGCATTAGGATCGGCGATGTGGTTTTTCGAGTGCCGCAGGGGCGACCTGGAGTGGTCTAATGTGGGAGTTTCCGAAAATTAGGGGTACCTTATTTGGGGCCCTTATGACAAGGATCCTATGATTTCGGTACTATATCAGGATCCCCCTATTTCGGAAACTCCCATGTGTTGAAACACAGGAGCCCTATGACTTCGCAACAACCCCCCGTTGTGACGGAGAAATTTGACAACGCGATCGGTCGCGTAACGCCGAGCTCTCTGAGCTCAAGGCCCTGGCTCTAAGGCGCCCTCCATGCACTGTTGAGGGAGGTTCGGTGTTCAGAAGTTTGCGGGTTCTATGGATGAGGGTTCAAAGGGATTTAGGCTTTAAGGGTCAGGGGTTAAACCCTAAACCCTAAACCACCAACCACTAAGGAACCCTGAGGACGGGGTTGAGGGGTTGAGGGTTTGGGGGCCGGGAGTTTCGAGGCGGATGGTTCCAGGCTTAAAGGAGCCTGGCAAACCACCGAATGTTCATTCACGAGAACCCATCCATCCATCCATCCATCCATCCATCCCATTGCATTACATTACGTTACGTTACATTCCGTTACATTGATGATGCACACACAGACATGTCATAGCTAAAGCCCGTATCCTGCCTTGCCAACCCACACACCATACAACACCAAGCCGGCAAGCACAAGCCCCAAAACCCTCTAAAGCCTTCACACCTTCCAGCCTCAGACCCTAAACCCTACACCCTAAATCAAAAAAAAACCCTAAATCCTAAACCCCTCGAAAACCTAAACCCTAAACCCTAAATTAAAAAAAAAGCGCTAAACCCTAAACCCCTCTAAACCCTAAACCTTAAACCCTAAATTAAAGAAAAAACCCTAAACCCTGTAAGCATCCGAAGTCTCGAGAATCAGAGATCCCCGAGGCCTGGGCGCTCTACGTGGGGGCACTCCACGGCCCGGCGGCCTACGGGGGCGTGGTGGGCTTTAGGATCCTTTTGGTTCAGGGATCAGGGTTTAGGGTTTAGGGGTTTATATAGGGTTTAGGGTTTAGGGGTTTAGGGGTTTAGGGGTTTAGGGTTTAGGGTTTAGGGTTCAGGAATTCGGGTTCATGTCTGGGGGTTTAGGGCTCAAAGCTCCAGGGAAGTTAGCAAAGGTCTTCTTGGTTTTGATTCTTGAGGGTTCAGGGTTTCGAGTTCATGTTAAGGGGTTTAGGGCTTAGGTCCATGTTTTGGCGTTTCGGGTTTAGGGCTCCTGAGGAATTTCGAAAGCGTTTCTTTGATTAATGGAGGTGTAGACTGACAGATTTTGCCAAGGGGGTCATTGAAGATGGGGCCATGGTTCTTCGAAGAGGAAGGAACGAGGGGAGGTTGGGCTTGGGGTTTAGCCTTTGGGGTAGGGTTTCGGAGTTGGCACTTGGGGCTACATGGGAGTTTCCGAAAATAGAGGACCCTCATATAGTACCCTAAGTAGTAGGATGCCTATTATAAGGAGCCCATAACAAGGTACCCTAATTTTCGGAAATTCCCACATGTTTGGGTTCAGGGTTCAGGGTTAAGGGTTTAGGGTTTAAGATTAAGGGTCTAGGGTTTAGGGTTTACGGTTCGGGGTTAAGGGTTTAGCCTGCGGGGTTTAGGGTTGGGTTTCGTGACCGTCTGTCTTGGAAGCTGGGATGAAGCCAAAGTAGGTGTATAAGAGTCATTATTGTGTATATCTGCATGTATGTATATATATATATATATATATATATATATATATATATTTGTTATGTATAGATATAAATATGTATATGTGGATATCAGTGTGGATGTCTATATATATATATATGTATGTATGTATGTACATAGGTGAATGACAAAGTACATTGCAAACCCTCTCTATGTACATGCCACCCTTTCGCATCTAACCTAACCCTTTATCAAGGGATTGGAAGCTCAAGGTCTAAAGCCTAGACCCTAAACCTCTAATCCCAGAACCCCTGAACCTCTAAACCCCTAAACCCTGGAACATAGATCCTAAATTCCTAAGCCGCAAACATTAAACCCCTAAACCCCTAAACCCTGGACCATAGACCCTAAACCCCTAAACCCCTAAACCCCGGAGCCTAAACCCAAGGATCCAAGAAGAAACCCAAGGATCCTGAACCGACCTCCCAGGCGACGATGCCTGCCCGCGCGATCTGGACGGACTATTGACCTGGTCTGCAACCTGCCAGGGGGCTGGGGGTTTAGGGTTTAGGTTTTCGGGGGTTTATGTAGGTTGTTGACGTTCTGGAGGTGTTTAGGGGTTGAGGGTGGACTTATTTTCATTTCGTGGTTTCATGGAGGTTTTGGTTTATGCTAACGTTTTAGATGATCATGGTAATTGTTGCTTTTTGTGTGGGTGGAGAGGGGGGTTGGGGTTCAGGGTGGAAGGGATGCTTACTTCGGAGATATTGGAGCTTCTGGGATGGAAAGGGTCAAGAAGGAGCATCACGCGCAGCATTCCGGGACAGCTGTTGGTCTGAAGAAGCCCTTATGAAGATCCAGATAAAGTATGTAGAATCTCTTTGTCCATATGCATATATATATATATGTGTATTATGTAATATGTATACGTATGTTATGTAATATGTACATACACACATGTAAATGTATATCGTCCTGTCACGACCCCATAAGCCCGGAATGCGGTTCAGCATAGTACCGTGTGGCCAAGACCACGGGCAGAATGCTGCGGGACACGGTTTAGGGTTTAGGGTTTAGGGTGACTTCGGTGTTTTTGCAGATTCGGGGTTGGGGCTTTTTGAGGGTTCAAGCATTACAGTAAACCGCATAGAGTTGGAAACCGGATTAAGGCCAGATAATGCTGGGATTCCCTATACATTGCTCTTAAGGATTGAGGCTATGGGGTTTCCGACTTTTAGGCTTCTACTGTATTGGGGTCCGCATGCATCGAAGATGGCTTCATGGCTGCAACTGCTCAGCGAGCCCCTGGGCTCTGAGGATGGTGGAGTTCAATATAGGGGCCTTAATTATTAGAATAGGGTTTTGGGGCCCGTTATACTATAGGTATAATAAGGAACCCCCAAAATGGTATTGGTAAGCTTTGGGTTTCTAGTTTGCGCACGTTCGAGGTGTGTTTTCGGGCTTTCCGGGTTGTTGTGCAGGTTTAGTTGAACGAAGTTCCGTTGGGGGAGCCCTTGCGGTTATAGGTTAGGTACGGCCCCCACTCAGGAATAGTTGAATAATGTTCATAAATATAGATATAGTAGGACCTTAATAGTAGCCCTATTATAGACTCTTACTGTATGGGGGCCGTACCTAAGTTATAGGAGGCTCAGGCTCAGGACTGCAGGGCCGCCTAGAACCATGAACCCGCAACACGAAAGTCAGTTCAACACCCCGTTCTGTAAACCTCATACCTTAGAAGCTGAACCACACCTGTAAGAGTGGTATAATAGGAATATAATAGGAATATAATATGGCCCTAATATAATCCTTATAGTATCCTTATGGTCACTATTACAGGGTGGGGGCAGCTTCTAACTCATACCTTGTTAAAAAGTTAGTAGCAGAAACAAGCAGCCTGAAGCAACAGCAAGATCACAGTAGTAATCTGCGCCGCCGTAATGAAAAGTCAAATGTTTATCAAACGTAACAAACGCAAGGATGATTTTACCAGGTGATTCTCTGGGCGGTTTCCTTTTGAGACGGTTCTCCTATGTCCCGAAAGCCCTGGACCCCGACAAAACACCATAAAGCTTCAACCCCTACACCCTAAATTCAGAAAGCTAAACCCCACTGACCCTCAATGCCGAGAGGTTTGGTATCGTGGGCTTGGCCTTCCTCTTCGTGGGTTGCACGGGGCCCCGGCAACAGAGACGACTGAAAGCTCTGCTTATCGTACAGGGCCTGGAGCTTAAAATGAGGGCTCTATAATGACTCTATAACTGGAGACCAACAAGTACGTACATAAACCATGAAAGGACCCTGAAACCCGATCAAACTCATAGGGACCTCTGGATCTGCTCAGCTAAAGCCCGAGGTTTGGATTTGGGGCGCAGCCTGGCGGGAAACAGCTTACCGTTTGAATCCGAAGTCCTAAAACCCTTGGGCAATCCGAAAACCTTCAGCGCAGTAGGCCCTAAGCACCAAAATCAGGAAAAATAGCGATCACCCTAAACTTCGGAAAACCTGAAGCCCTATACCGCAAAAGTAGCCCTCACATATAGCATCCTTCTAGATCCCTCATAGAACTCTCGAAGAACCTTTTTCACTTCGAGTCGGCCCTGCGTTCGTAGATTCTTCGTATCCATCCATCCATCCATCCGTCCATCCATCCATCCATCCGTCCATCCATCCATCCATCCATCCATCCGTCCATCCATCCATCCATCCATCATCCATCCATACGTACATTCGGATCAGGTATGATATCTTTCAGAAGATCGTTGCTATTCACAATTTCTTTAAATCTTTTTAATTTCTCTGGAATCTAAATAAATATATATTCTACATACAAATATACATAATAATATAGATACTTACATGCATATATACATAGAGGGAATAACTATATACATTTTGCGTTCTTTTTGGCTGTTTTTTGGAGATTTGTTCTTTTCGGGAGTAACAATGGGTCTGAAAAGGTTCTTTTGGTGTTTGACGGGGGGTTGTAAGCTTTCTGTTTGGGTTCTTGCGGCGATGCCTCTGTACGGTTTTACAGCTGCCTTCTTAGGGTTTGTTTGATGGAGTTTTCATGGTCCTTTTGCAGCAACGTATACCACTCAGCAACCCTCTTTCTTTAGGGGTCTTCTTATTGGAGCCCCTATTCCCATCCTTTTTAATGGGAGGGCTTAGCCAGGCGACCAGATGAACCGCCAAGAGTCAGAGATGACTCCTCTTCTGCAAGACAGTTTTTCTTAGAACAAGCCAAACCGAAGCTGGAGCCCATTCCGTTTCTCGCTTCGGGCCCTTCTTGCTACAGGGTATTCCAGCGCAAACGCTCGAAATGCTAAACCCATGAACCCGGAGTTCTTCGCCGAAAGCCTTGAGCGCGAAAGCACTTAAAGCAATGAAACTGTACCCCGCCCTATTATGTCACCTTGTAGTCCCGAATGTACGCTAAAGCCTACGCTGAAACGTCTACTTATTTCGGAGGCAACACTTTCCAAACTTCATCAGCCACTGATAAAAACCTCTCCCAATGCCTAAGCCACACCAAATAATAGCCATACCCCCCCCCCCCCCCCCAAAACCCGTAATCACGAATCCTAATCCTCAAACCCTGTAAACCCCTAAACCCAAACCCACGAATCCTAAACATATGTCAAGGTCTCACTCTGGGGTCTGTTTTGGCGGGAAGAAAGGTGCGGATGCCAGCTCGGATCACACATCCTGGCTCGGGCCCCACGAGGGGACTTTACCGTCTAGGCCCTGAAGCCTCTGAGCTCGAAGCCCTAAAACCGATTTTTCCGAGTTCAGAGCTTCGCGCTCTGGGAGGTTTAAGGCAATGTTTAGGGGCGTCCTTTTGTTGGTTTTGGGGGGTCTAGGTCCAGTTAAGTTCCGAGCCCGGAAATCCGAATATAGGGGCCGGAGTGATTAGTAATACTCTTCCCTTATGGGAGTTTCCGAAAATTGGGGGCACCTTATTTTGGGGTCCTTATAATAAGGATCCTACTATTTAGAGTACTATATTAGGGTCCCCTATTTTTGGAAACTCCCTGATAGTCCTTGTACAACTGTAGTGCACTGTACCCCCAATGCCTGGTCAGCAATCCTTGAGACTGATCGCCAATCAGTTGAGTCTGGATTTATGGTCTAGGGCTTAGGATCCCACATTACATTCTGCGGGTTAGCATCAACAACAACAGTCAAGATCTTAGAGCTACTAGAATTTGAATGCGAACAGACTGCGATGCCTTGTCAAGTTCTAAGGTGTCACTATAAGAGCTGTGAGCAAGACCGTGTAAAGTGCAAGAGAAGGGGGCACGCTACGCGTCCCTCGACTCTAGGGGGCATGCTACGCATCCCTCATCTTTACCTTTCTATGTGACCGCCAACGCAACGTTTGGCTCAAGTCAATGCCCATAGCTAAGTGCTATATGTGTCTTCTATCCTGAGCAATCAGAGCTATCCCGTTGCACAGACGAACCGCCGCCGGCAGTGAGTGCAAAAGGAACGGCCGCCGGTTCTGCCTGCATAGGATTGCACGTGTGGAAGTAAGAGGGAGAGACAGGGTCCAGTCTGTGGAGAGTGCTAGCCAGCCACACCTACATTCATTACAGCTCTGGTGGGGAGAGCAGCAACCAAGTCGAGATCAATCCCCCACGCAGGTTATCAGCCGTACGCGGCTCTGCCTTTCTACAGCAACGACTACTTGATCTACTACGACCACAATGAACTCAGGATCAAGCCAAGATACGACAATGACTTTCGGTGCCGATGTGGCAGCGCCAGCCGTTGGTGAGTCAACAGCTGATGACACAGTGGTGCAATCCGTTGATAGCTCCACGGAAGATGACAAAGGTCAATCTTCTGCGCTTGCCATTGCAAAGGCAGTTCCCAAGGGGAAAGCAAAGAGTCTACCAAGAGCATCTACGCCTTCGCGTCCGACATCCACAGGTTCGAGGACGGGCAAGGCTTCAGAACGACGGGCCGAAGCGTCTGGTTTTCAGGCACCTCGGACTACGTCCAGGGCCAAGGACAAAGGAGTGAAGACCTTGGAAAAGAAGTCAAGGCCATCATCTTCGAGAAGCTCTTCAGCACGATCGAGGACTTCGGCTACTCGTGGGCGTGACAAATCCATGACTTGGAATCGGATGGTTACCAATCAGCCACGCGATGCTGACGATCTGGATATGACTCTGGATACGATTCCTGCACGTGGTGATGCGTCGTCCGTGGCCACGCCTGCCATAGCTGATGGTCCGAATGCCTATCAGGAACTGACGATTTCGCAACAGTTCGAAGCATCGAACCTTGCACAGCAGATGTACTATCGCAGTCAGGTGCAAGAATACGAAGGAGTCGTCCAGACCCTGATGGACAAGATCAAGGAGATGCAACAAGAAGATGAAGGATCTGGAATTCGCATTGAAGAATTGGAACGACAACGTGACCATGCATGCTTAGCCATGAGGCACATCAACAATGTCAATCAGGAGATGAAGCGAGACTATGAAACAGCTTTGTTTCGCATGGATGAACAGAACTCTGCTCAACAACGTCAAGCACATGCCGTTGCCGAGGAGTTAGCTCAACAGCTACACGTGTTCCGCACGGAGGCAGCCACTAACTTTGTGCAGTTGGAGGCAAGAGCGCAAGGCGATGGTGAGCTTATGGCACGTGAGTATGAGCGTCTGACTCATGAACTTCATGAACACGCCAGAGAGAACTTGGTCCTCCGGTCAAACACAGCAAGTTCGGAACAAGCCTTACAAGCAATGCAGGAACGATTCCACTTGGTCAAGAACCAGGAGTTGCGGGCTGTGAACGAGATCCAAGGGCTAGCTGGAAACAGCGCAGCCATTGATCAAGAACGATTTCGGCTTCGCGAACGTCTTGGTGAAGAGGAAGAGTACCGCAAAATGGCTGTGAAGAGGATGCAAGAAGCAGAGGACCGACTTCATCAAAATGAAGATCATGCAAGGCGATCATTGCCTACCTTGCACGACGAGCTGAGTGAACTCAGGAAAACGCTCAAAGCACAAGAAGATCTTCAAGCGAGGACACGCAGCGAATTGGAGGCAGCGCGGAACTCCAACTATGGTGGAGCGACGCGGCCTTCGAGCATGCCCATGTCTTCGAGGACTACTGAGTCTGGCTGGGAGCACGTAGGAAAGGAAGTAGTGCCTGCATTTTCCGTAGGAGGTGAGGTACGATCCCCTGAAATACGGTCCCCAAGTCAAGTTAGTCCAGTCGCCAAAGAGAAGTTCGCATTCTCGGAATCGGACAAGGACAAGAACCTTGTGATGGATGGAATTCCATTCACCGGTGGAAACTTCTTCACTGGCCGCAGTTCAATGCCAATTGTGGCGGATGCAATGCCCGAGCACTACGTGCCAGGTATTAGCAGCCCAGCACTTGCGCGTTCCACGCCTAGTGCAGCCACTTTGTTCGGCATACCAAGCGGATTTCATGGGAAAAGTGATGCGGCAGCCGTGCGTGATCGACAGCTACGCGAACTCTTGGAGGATCGCGGGATGTTGGGATCGAAGTCCACAGCATCTGCCAGCTCCTCAAGACCTGTTGGTGTCGACGGTATCACCGCATCTACGAAGGGCAACGACCTCATCGGTCCCCCTATTGCCTATGACGATTCCATTCATGAAGCAAGGAGACGTCAGATCGAGAAAGAGGTCGCGGAACGGTACGAGGAGAAGATTGCCGATCTGCGAAGCGAAGTACTCAAGGCCCAGAAAGCCGAACAACGTCTCAGAGCTGATCGTGATGAGTGGAAGTTATTCGCTGAAACGATTCAGGAGGATAATGGAGACGATGACGGTGACGAGGCTGGCGACGAGAACGAAGATGGAGAGCACGATGAAGGAACCGGCACGGGGTATGACCCTCCTGACCCGCCTGACGATGATGATGATAAGAAGAAAAGCGGTGGAGGCAAACCTGAATCGGATCCTGGCTCGCATGCGCGTGATCCTGATGGAGACGCGGATCCTGAAGTCACAGAGGTGAGAATTTCCAGGAGGGAAGCCGACAAAGTGACCGTTCCTCCATGGCCTACTCTCACTCATCTCAACAACTGGCGATCCGTGTGCACGGCCAATGTCTTAGGGGCATCAGCCGACCCACATCATGAGGACTGGATGTTATGGCTGGCACCAGCGTTCAACCCATTCC